GGTGTCGGCTTCTAGGGTTTGACGGCTACTGTGTTTACGACTAGGGTTGGCGAGATTGGGTGCTAGGGTTTGGTAGTACACCGTAGTAGACTATAGTACACTGTAGTATACTTTGTATACTTTGCTTTTAGGGTTTGGATAAGTAAACTATAGGAGATCATAGTACACTGTAGTACACCATAACCATAGTATATCATAGTATACCATAGTGTTTCATAGCCTACTACAATTTTGACAACAGATAAAATTAAAAAAATGTAAATTGAATAAAAAAACGAAAAAAACAATTTTTTTTATAATTTTCAATATTATGTTGGAAAAAAAAAGATTTTTTTATGTTTTTTATAATAGTGTAAAAATTATATAATTAGATTTTTATAATAATGAAAACAATACGACATGAAAAAAAAAAGAAATATGTAGAAAAAAAGAAAAAGAGAAATATGTTCTACGTAAAAAAAATAATAAAAAAATGCTAGATGGAAAAATGAAAATGATAAATGCTGTTAAAATATTATTTGATGTATATTACAATTTTTATTTGTTAAGGGCATTTTTGGAATAAAATTTATAAAGGATGTGAAGCAAAGATTTAGTTAGACTTGTCATTTAATTCTAATAAGTTTTGTTACTAGGGACCTATATCTTAAGACCCCTTAATTTAAAGGGTATATTATATTGCAAGCATTCTCATGTTTCAACTTTGAATATTAATTACGATTTAATTAATTAGTCAAAAACATCTTTCAAATTAAATATAATTTTACGTAGCCAACGACCCCGAAAGCCCCATCTAGAAGCCAACACAATTTTATTAATTAAACAAACTAATTTTTTTTTGATAAAATGGCTAATTAAACTATGCATGGAATTAATTTATAATAAAATACAAAAGATTATGTTAGACAAAGAATCGATGAGAGAGGGCGAATATGATATTCGTTTGTGGACACAAGCAAGTTCAAAGATATCAAATTAAAGTATCAAATAAACCCACTTTTTTTTCTTTTTCTTTATTAGTAAACTTGATCGAATTGCTTTTGATCAAGTACAAATTAAATAAGAATAGCAGCTTTTAATCTTTTAATAATAAAATCTGATAGATGAATTTCTATTTTACCATTAAAAATAAAATTAAGTGCAGACGTCACTTCCAATTATTATTAATGAATTTGATCAAGTAAAGTATTAGTGTTAAGCAAAGCTTAATTAGTTAATTAATCATCAAGTGCTTCTGCATTAGTGGGCAACTAAGTAAAACCCTAAAAAAAAACAATTGTAATCTTTGTAAGTGCAACGGATATTACCCTCATATTATGCGAATAACAATATAGTTGATTGATCTCATCACCCACGATTAATTTCTAAGTAGAGAAATAGTATTTTATGTACGTATAATATAATTAATCTTTTTGTCATGTATTTATTTTAAGAGAATGCAATTCTTTTACTATTAATTCTGTTTAATTATTAAATTAGCGTTCCTCTATTGTAAATTAGTTAGACAATCAAAATTCAAAACAGGCGAACATAATTAAACTGTTGGTTCAATGATTAACTAATTAATTAAGCAAATTAGATATTATGCAAAATGGGCTAATTAATAGGTATTGCGACAGTGTATCTACCTTTCTTTGGATGTAAGTTATAACAATGACACGACTTATCATAGTACAAAAAACATTCAGAGATAAGTTAGCCCTACCCTAGATTCTAATTTCCTGTAAAAAAAAGCATATTTATATATATATAGGCTGGTGCACGTGTCATGTTTTCTCTTTCTGGAATATTAAAAACGTGTCATATTTTGACTGGCAAGATTGTTCTTGTTTGGTGAAAAACGAACGGATTCGTCGGCATATCTGAGTATTAATTAATTAATTAATTTATATTATATAAAACGAGTTGAGCCGATTCAACCATAACTCGAATAGCTATCCAATTTTGCGCTCGTTCCGCTTCTGACGACATTGGTCTCGATCACTAGGCCGAAAAAATATGATATCTCTTAACATAATATTGAGTTTGACAAAAATCCCCCGGTGAAAATTGCTATGTTGATAAATCCAAATTTTTATTCAATAATAAAAAAAAAAAATTTACTTCGAATTCACCAAAACATAGAAATAAATATTCATAAAAATGTACCAGCTCGTACGTATAGGAAGTGATCTCAGTTCCTAATTTAAAACCACAATAATCTAAAGGAAAAAAAAATATTGTAAAAACTACATTAATTATTTACCTGCTTAATTCATCCACGTCATATATATATAGGTATAATTAACATGGAGTGTAGTTAACAAAGGATTTGGAGCTGTATCTCTGCTTGGGAATAGGTGGAAGCTTCGAGAAGCTGAACACGTCATCATCATTTTGAACAACAACAATATCACAAGAATATTTGCATGAGAAAACGCTACTAATATTATTATTATTACTACTACTCTTGCCACCACAATATTTATTCTTTCCCTTGTTAGAATATTCGTCAACGCTGCTTTTCGAGCATGACTTTAGAGCTGTAACGAATGGATCATCTAATTTCCACCTTTTGCAAAAACTTTTTCTTGCCTTACTGCATGCATTTTGTGCTGGTGGTGGTGGTGCAATGTTCTTATGCTGAGGATGCACGTAGCTGATCCCGACCATCGGATCATATACTGGCTGGATTTTGAGACACGTGTGATCGGATGAGGACTTTTGGTGACGGTTCGATTTGGGTACTCCTGGTTTTTCTTCCCAGGAAAATGGTACGTTCCCCTTCGAGTGAATCCTTCTATGGCTCATTTGTTCGTAATTGAGTTGACTCGATCGGTCTAAACTCGGCTCAGTTCGTCTACTTATAGAGGTTGTGTCACTAATCAAGAACTTATGGTCACAATTGATTGTGAGACAAGACTTTGAATTTTAGTAGGAAGACAATGAAACGACATCCATTTTCTTGATTGTTATTTAAGAAAAGAATTAAAGCTGATTACCGGTGTAACACGAAAAAACGACACGAGAATTAGTCTTTGTATACTATCATTACTTGCAATGTTTTATGTTAATTAACCCAAATTTGACAGCCACTTGTTGTTGGTGTTTGAATGTTTGATTGCAATTTAAGGAAATGTAGATCATAATTAATGTGTAGTTAGAGTTTGATGAAAGTTGTAATTTTTCCTCATTGTGACACGTCTGATGTGCATAAGTGTGAAAATCAAAATGGAATTCCCGAATGCCGCCAATTTTGATCAGAAAATAACCGAGTTTTGATTATAAAATAAACTAATGTTTTTTTTAATTTTCTTTGAGCAAAAAAACCATAAAGTAATAATAAGCTAAAATTTAGTTTGATTTTCAGTTTTCAGGAGTGGTAGAATTAATTATAGCGTAAATTACGAAAACTCCCTCTTGTAAGCTATAAATCTTCTTACACGTCCACCCTTGCGGTTTCAAATTTGGTAGAATTTTCGAGATTATATGAAATATTATCACTTTTGTACCCGTTTTATCCCATTCGAACTCTAAATTTTGAAGTAAAATGATCATAATATATGTTTTTTGGCTTGAAATATATATAAGATTGTAGTGTATAAGAAACTGTATTTTTGACACAAAACAATCACAAACTAGAGCATATTCCACGAAACCTAGATGATTATGTTGAATTTGGCAATTGGCCATAAGGGTGGAGGTGTAAGAAAAAATCATAGTTGAGGGGTAGATGTAATTATCCAAACAAGAGGAATTTTTCATAAATTAAACATACCTCAGGGGTTGATTGTAATTTACCCTTAAGTATAGTTACACGTGGATAAATAAAATACTAAAACAATTAATGATAACCTGGGCCTCATGTACAAAGGCCCAAGAGCACCCAGTCCAATAAATACTATGTCCGAGGCGCAAACCCTAAATCTAAAAATTCCAGGACAATAAATCTCGGCATCTATTATGAGCCGATACAGATCTACGTTTTCTCTTACATGTTCAATTTTTTTCTTAATTTCTGTAAATTTCTGAGTGAATTCGTATGAGGCGATGAAGAAAGAAATCATTTCTCGATGCTGAGATAATGGACCTTCGTTTATTTCTGATGACCTGTTTTTATGCGTGTCTGAGCCTTCTCCGATTCTTCCATTTCTGTGTTTTTTTTCTTTTCTTTTTTTTGTTTTTCAAATTAAAATTTTATTTTTGGTAGTTTTGGAAAGTGGGATTTTGCGATGATAAGAATATAATTCCTCGTTCTGAATGCCGATTGGCATGATAGACTCTGTTTTAACACCCATAGAATCTGAGCAAATTCCCACTTTTCTTTATTTATTTATTTTATTTTATTTTTTGAAAAAAAAGAAATTATTTTTCAGTGTAGATATCATTTATAATTATTAATGTACTGTTTCTCATCACTTTGCTGCAATTTAATCTGTATTAATTACAATATTTGTACTTAATTAGTGCTGAATATCACTAATTAATAAGAATGGTTGAATCGACGGGTTCCATTTGACGGTACATGAATAAGCCCTAAATTGAAATAAACTATTGAATCCCTACAAAAATTGAAATAAAGCATCCTAATAATTTGATGACGCCGCTGCTTGTTGCATTTGTTGCCGGTGGATGAAAACCCCCCGAAATTGTCAAGTTTGTAATTTTGTGAAATTACAATTGAACCCTTAAAGTTTTTGAAATTACACAAACATCCCAACTTTTTTTTTTTTTTTTTTTTATCAAAATTTCATCAAATTAGGGATGTTAGCCTTTATGTGTAACATTATTTCAGAACTTCAATTATGAAAGTGTAACCGATAAGAAAAAACGAAAAAGTTCTGAAAGTGTAACTGGATATGTAATTTCTTAAAAAGAAGGGATTTTTTGTAATTACACGTTACGTCAGGGACATGGATGTAATTTACCCTAAGTGAATATTGAAATTTTATAGTGCATATAGAACCCTGAATTTGAAATCACAATGTCAAACTAAGTTCAGAGTAAATAAGGTTACAAACCAATACTAGGTTCAGTACTTTCAAGAAACGAAAACAAATTAGAACAAAACACAAACCAATTCAACAAGCACACTTGAACACTGCCCCACCACCTTTAAATCACTGCAACAATTATCTCCTGCCGTTTTCCGTCCGATTTTCTTTCGTGTTTTCATAGAGATTGAATAGCAGCAGAACTCGCAACTGCCGAACCAAGTAAATCATTGCAGAGAATCGAACTCTCGTGCACCTTCTTGTTCTCCGCACTCAATGGAGGACTACTCCCAGAGCTACTGTTCGAGAGAGAAACGAACGTTGATTTCTGGAGAACACCCGTCGGAGAAGACCCTATTTCGCGGGTCCCACTATTCCTCCACCCGGCCTTGCCCGAAGGGAAAGTATCCCCCGCTCCTGCGCCACCTGTACTCGTCAGCACCTCTCCCAGGGGCCCGCCCATCGCATTCCCCCAATTCACCGGGCCAAGATCACGGCCCATATGGGTCCTGTCGCCGAGATCAAGGCCCATATGGATCTGGTCGAGCCCGTGGGCCGGCTCAGTGGATCTCTCTTGTGAAGAAGCTGGCATGGGGATGGACATCGAGAGCTGGGTCCAGTCCGATTTGAGTTCTTCGGGCCAAGAAACAGGGGCCCGGTTCGATTGGTGGGCCGCCTTCGGCCAATCGTCCATGAAGTGGTGGACAGATGATGAATGTTGGTTGTTGTTGTTTGATTCTAAATTTGGATCGTACGGCAAGAAAGAGTCGGTAGTTGTGGTGGGGGCGGTGTTGTTGGTAGTGGTGTTCATGTAGGAGAATATTCTTTCTTCGGAAGGATTGAGAAGGGAGTGCGAGGAGACGAATCCGAACTCCGATTGAGACGGGCCCACGAACGGCGGCACGTTGTGTGGTTGTTGCTGTTGTTGACTTTGAGTAGAGAATGGCGGGCCATCTTTTGACTTTGGACCAGTAGTACTAGAAGGTATCAAGGAGAGGCCGCCTTGAAATCCTTGCGATCTGTCGTAAGATCTTGCGCAAGTTTAGAAATAAATACCAACAACAGAAAGATTCTTAACTTATATATAGACAAGAAGGTCTACTTAGAGATGTAAATGAATCGAGTCGAACAAAACAAGAGATTCCGCATTTTCAAGATTCAATAAAAACAATACGGACAAAAGCGCAAATAAAGGAAGATGGCATACACATTAAATTTAGATCATTCACCTTGTAATAAGATGGTCGGTGGCGGCAGCACTATTGGGCTGCTGCATCGAACTGAACGGGTGGTGCACGAGTGATGGCGAAGAGAGAGAAGAAGAAGGAATGGACGGAAGTTTAGAGAGAGAAAGAGAAGTAGTAGATGATGATCCGGAGACGATAGCATGGCCATTATTTTGACCTTCCACAGGCTTTCTTGAACGATGGCGGCCCCTATTGATGTGCCGTTCGCAGTATTTCTGATCCGGAACGGAATCCCTAGAGCACCGCCATTTCTTTCCATCGGTCCTCCTACACCGCCCCGGCTCCGGGTCGTTGCTGCCGGAGTAACCTAGATGGAATGGTCCCCACCCCACTGCATCCCATCCAAACGCAACCGAAAAGGAACTCGTTCAGAAAAAAACATATAACATAAACAAACAACTAATCACATCTTTTAAGGCATAATTAACACGATTAAATTGACAACGATAAATATCGAATGCGATAATTAATCGAGCTTACAAAGATTAGAGGCGTAAGATCCGTAAGCGTAAAGGGATCTCTTGAGTGGAACGAGTAAGTTAGAAGGAACAGGTACATTTGCCACAATGTGCTTATAGATCAAAGCTTGATGTTCGAGTTCCATCCATTGCGACGGAGTAAACGGCCCCTTTAGTCGAGCAAACGGCCCCCGAACGCCCCCGTTTAGCCCCCCACCTAAATCAATTGCAAGAAATTCAAACACATACCAAAGATTGGATTTTTTTTTGTTCTTTCTCTCATGTCACATTAAACATCTGAAGATGGAGATCAAATCTTTACATAATTAATTAAATTATTCATTTTTATTAAACCCCATTAAATAAAAATTAAAACATTAGCAATATTAATCAAGAACCCATTAAACATTAAACATTAGCAAATATATATTACCTCCTGTTCTGCTGTGATGCTCGTCCTGGCAAATAGAAAAAGCTATACTCCTGCTCGAACCACCACCACCACCACCGCCGCCGTCGCCGCCGCGAGGCTCGGCGGAGGAGAATGAAAGCATCTTCTGGCCGTCATCCGCCGGCGACGGCCACAAAGTAGATCTCCCAAAAGCGGCGAAACTTTCAGAAGTGGAATCAACTTCGTCGCCGGGCTTGGGCATTTTGGGTAATCTCCAGCTGTCGTCGGCAAACTCAGATCTTTGGTGCTTCAGATTTGCAGATCCATGGCGATTTTCATCTCTGGGTTCAGTAGTAGGAGAGGGTTGCTTGTTGCTGCTTACCACCACCCCAAAATCCATTTTTTTTTTTTAATTAAAAGAAAAGGTGGAGAAAAGTTTACTGCATTATCCCCACACACATGAGCATGAGTTCATTTCAAGATTTGTTCCTTTTTTCTTTTCTTTTTTTAAAGATTTTTATTTGTATGTATTTGAGGAGAAGCAATCAAGATTCACTACTGCTGAAATAAAAAAAAGATAAGTGAAAAATACTTAATATTTGCGTGTGTGTGTGAGTGCGTGTGTTTGTGTGTGTCTGTGTGTGTGTGTGAGAGAGAGAGAGAAGACAAAGTAGTTCCAAAGGAAGACAATCTCCTCATCTCGGACAAAAGCTGTGGTTAAGCCAAAACTTTATCTTGTTATTGCAAGAGTAATTTACTAAAAACTCCTTAGTGATTTTAGTTATTTTTTAATAAATACTAAATTAACACTTTCAAAAAAAAATATGAAAAAATATATAGAAAAATTGAATCTTCGGAAACCAATATGAAAAAACATGTTCCAATATCGGAATGGCAAAAATCGATTTTTTTTAATATGAATGAAAATCCGAATTTCATATATATTCAATTCCAAATACAATCTAACATAGTAAAAATACAAACTCGGAATATTCATTGGAAAATATTTTACAAAATTAAATATATCTCAATTTACATCCCTAATATGGAATAACCTCCCAATGTGTGACATATATTGGTTGCAAATATTATTAGGGTCAAATTATCGAACCACATAAATGATTTACCAGTGAAATTATTCTTACTCAAGCTCAACTATTTAGGAATTATCAAAAATTAATATAATAAATATAACAAGACAAATTACTAACCATGTCATCTTAGTAACGTCCCATCAATTCAATCCAAAATACAATAAATGTGCATTTAAAATAATATTGTTTATGGCCTTTTTTTTAGCTTACTTCAAAATGTTTTAAGAAAACAAATTCTATTAATAATGAGATTCGAACCCCACCTATAATAAGCCAATATAAGTAGTTGGGATTTGAATTGGGGTTGTAAAGGACAAAAGGAAGAAAGATTGGACATAGTTATAAATATCTACATTTATTCTCCAACTCATAAAATAAAATAAAAATTTATTAATTAGATTGATTGATTTTCTTATATTAATTTCATAAATGACCGTTACAACTCGACAAGGGAGTCGTACCTTGTCCTTGAATCAGTTCGAAGATTATTAAGATGTTACATCCAGTAAAATACACTCAATCGTTTTTAATTGTAGATGTGATGAAATAATATATCACTAAACACACATATACATGGATGTGCGTATGATTATGTGCAAATTAATAGTTAATAATCATCGATGTATTTTATTGGGTGTAGCATCAAATAAATACTTAATATATGGTGTGAGTAAATTTTAGTAATTTGTTTAATTGATTTAATTCAAAATAAACTTTTTTTCCAATTGAAGAAATAAATAAATCCATGTATTATAATTCCATGCAGGGGTGGGGCTAAAGGGTAGTGAAGTAATTTCAACTTGCACGAGCATGGGGTTTCTTTAGATCTAGCTGCAGGGTACTGATTTCTGCCACTCGCTTGCTGAAATGTGGAGTGTTTGAAGGTACACGCGCCGCCGAAGTGCATCTGAAACCCACTCGCGACCGTGGCCTCACCGTTGCTTTGTTGTTGGGCCTTAGTGCTACTATTAAATATATGGGCCCTGGTGATTTACAAGTTGGGGTTTTCTTTCTTTGATTAATAAAGAATGGCTGAGAGAACGGCCCATAATAGGCTGTTTTGCTAAACTTTACGGCCCATCGGGCCGGGCTTAAATGGCTTATCGGATCTCAATTCCAACAATTGAAAATTTATTGGTGATTATAACTTTTTTGTTTGATTAAATAAAAAAAATCATTTAGAAAATTGAGGAACAGAGGAATTAATTAATAGAAACTCCATGGTACGAGGTAATAATCTTATTAAAAAAAAAAAAAAAAAAGATTGAAACTCCATAGTAGCTAATGAATTAATGATTATTTAACAGTCTGGATATATGGTTGTCATTTTCAATACATTCTGATTAATTCCCACCCATCCGGAAGTAATTATGATCACATGATAATAAACATAAAACAAATTAATTTCTAAAGAATATGAATGAAAGTAAATTATGTAATTATGCTCACATTATTCCTTGCATGAGGGACAAAAGTTTATGTGGCAAATCAACCGATCATGTCAATCAATTGGGTCCATTTTATATTTACACACACACACACACACACATATATATATATATATATATATATTCAGAAGAAGGTCAAAAACCAATTGGATATTTTCTTTAAAAGAAAAAAAAGGAAAAAAAAGGAAAAAAATGAAGAAAAGTAGAACCGCAGCAGGAACAGCTACTATTTGCAGTTGAATTGAATGCTTTCTGCGATAATTTATCTTTCTTGTTGTTTGTCTTTACCTAATTCTTTAATTTCATCTCTACGAGGGACCCTATATCATTCATTCATTCATTCTGGTTTTTTTTTTTTTTTTTTATTCATTATTATATTGCTTATTTTTTCTGTTTCTGATTTCAAAATGACCCATGTATTTATATACAGGGAAAAAAAACATAGAGGATTTACCGCAGAATACAAATAATTAATTAAAATCAGATTTATTTGCATGCCGTGCAATTATATAATCGAGAAGTAATAGTTAACTATTTTCAGTTGGATTTTAGGGAAAT